TATTTAAAGTGAATAATGAGTTACGAAGGACATTGCTGATAACAAGAAATTAAATTTTTAAAGTTATTGAAAGACTAAAATTCGCCTTAAAAATTCTATCTCGAAGAAAGTTTTTACAATTTAAAAAACAAAGAACAAATTTATTAACGAATTATCCCAATATTTTTGCTAAGCAAAGGTTATAAAGAGTTTTCTTTTTACTGACCAAAAACAATTCACCATTTCTATTGATTGAATTAAAACATTTCTTTAGCTTATATCTTACGAACTGAAGTCTTTTCACAAAACACCAACACAGAGGTGAAAACATCGAATAAAAAAAGTACTTAATGTTTATTTCTGTATATGAAATAGCTAAAATTGAATCATTATTTAAGAATAAATTAACGTTTTGAAATCTCAAATTTAAATACATCTAGTTCTAAATAATTAAACATTGAAAAACTGTGCTTTTTGATTCATATTACAAAAGACCAACAAAGAAATCCAAGACAAAAAATTCAACAACTCTCCTTACGAAATGTTTTCCCATTACATAAATACCCGTTTACCTTTTACAGATCTAAAAATAACCTAAAGATCCGCCATTTTGTTTCCAGATATCAAAATAATTTCGAACTAATATCTAAAACGCCGAAGCACTTCCACAAAACACCGGCTACAAAGAAATGAAGACATGAGAGAACAAAAAATAGAAGGAAAAAAAAAAGAAGGTACTTTAGGCTCATTTCCGAATATAAAAGTGCAGAGGAAGCTATACCACTCAGATCTCAAGCAGGCTAAAGGCAATTTTCGAAAGAAAAGCCTTAGCTCTCTTCTTTTTTTTTTACTTATTTCATTCTCCCAAACTACCTTCTTGCCTCTTTTTTTCTGTAAAAAAAGGAAACGCGAGGAAATAAACACATGCCGAACTGCAACAAAAGAGGCAAAAACGAATCTCATTCGTTTTTGAATGAGAATTTCAGCAACAAAGAGTGGCAACGGCCTTTAACGGGAAATGAAGCAACCTTCTTTCTTTTGTGAAGGTATTTATATACCCCATTACCTTGGAAGAAATCTGTTGAACTTCTGCCAGTTATCAAAATTTGAGAACAGTTACCTCCTGGGCATATTTGCAGTCGACATCCGCATGGGCTCACGTTTTGCAAAATCCATTTTTCTTGCGACAATAAGCCGTTCTTTTTTAGGTTTTTTCCCCCTCTACCCTTAATCATTTTTTGTTAGATTTTTTTTGAAGTTTCCAAACGGCACATTTGTAAACAACGAAGGTTTTTGTGGTACTAATGCTTCGTGAAGTGTGAATTTGAATAATACGCAAGAGTTTCAGAGCATCAGTTATTGGTTTTTGCATTTTGTATGTACGAAAAAAAATTGGTGTTTAAAAATGTTTAATAAACTAGAGGTCTTCAACCAGTGGCCCGCCGAAGGAATTTTAGTGATCCCTTATTTAAATTTGAGACAATTTTAAAAAAATGTCTTGTCTGCTTTTTGCCGAAAGAAACGCCCTTTTTTGTTATTCTTGATATTTAAAGCAATTCACTGATTTGTTTGATATCTATTTCAGATAAAATTTTCTGAAAATGACAAATTTTTCAAAACTTTAACTGTATTCTAAATAATTTCAAATATAAAAAAATTTGACAATGCATAAAATCAATATTTTTTGTCAATAAAAAATATTTTTTCGACAGTATTGTAATCCACGGATTAATGTGAATTTATTGATGTTGTAGTGGCTTGAAAACCATTGTAAATTTATTAATTCGTCCATCGAGCATGAAAGGTTGAAGACCTCTACCTTAAACGATTATTTTTTGATAATTATTTTTTTAATGTTTCTATTTAAGGTTATTTAATGATTACAAATGAACTTATCAGCACTTTATAATATTACTAATCGTTATGCACCCAACTACGCATGCGAACTCATTGCTTGGAGATTTTCTTTTATAAAAGCTTCCAAGAATCCAGTGGCATCGTCCTCTTCACAGATTCAAGATCTACGCTGCAAGCCATCCAGAAGGCCATCCAAATCAGCCACAAAATTATTCAATCCATCGACAAAATTATCATAGAAAAGAGACCCTGCACGCTACAATAGATTCCAGCCTACGTAAATATCTTCGGTAATGAGAAAGTCGATGGACTTGTTAAAGAATCCAGAGCTTGCCTTCAATCATCTAACCTCACGACCCTCATCGAAGCCAATGCAGTTGCCAGCCGAAGGCTATTCAACATTAATTTTAAATATTCCATCCCAGCTCTAAATAGCAACCGTACAATAGCATCAATAATAACTAGACTTGTAACAAAGCACGTAAAAGGAATGAAAATCTCAACTGACGGACAAAAAAGTTACACAAATCATTACCCAATTGCCCTAATGTTCAACTGTCTCCACAACATGTCCTCAGCTGCCCAGCAATTCAAGCCAGGCTTTTCAAGATCAGCCCAGAAGATTTAATCTTCTCTGATAAAGCTGTTGAGGTTGCCAAAGCTGTCTTCGACAGCTTTGGAGCGATCTAAAGCTTTTTTTATTAATCTGCACATCATGGACACGCCGACAACAACAACTAATTGTTATTCACTCACTTCGATGGGTATTTCATGATATTGTAAGACTATATACAGGGTGGTTCATAAAGTATACAGTTTCAGTGCACTTTATAAATCAAAAACAATTTAAGATATTATATGTTACTTGTAATATAATTGTATGGGACTATTTAAAGTATTGCTGGAGTCAGGTTACAGATGTTCTATGTGTGAACCCTTAGTCTTACGACACACACAGATTAAGTAATCTATTTCCACCTACAAGCGTGTTAAGGTATTTGAATCAAGTTCATCAATAGTGGTTGTAATACGCTGTTACAGCTTCGCTAGATCAACAGGAAGAGGAGGTACGAATCCCTTATCCTTTACGTACCCCCTCAGGAAGAAATCACAAAGTGTTAAGCCAGGACTTCCGAATAGCCATGGGGTAAATGGCATGCTATAGTCCGCGATTCGTCCAATTCATCGCTGAGGGAGATGTCCATCGAGGTAATCTCTGACCAGTGAGGTAGCACACCATCCAATTGGAGAATGAAGTTGTCAATGTCATCTTGCAACTGTGACATCAGCCAAAGAGAGTTAACCTATCCAAAAAAAAAAAAGTGGCTTCCGTGACATTTTGCTAAATTCATGCACACAAAAAGCCTTTCCCACTACAAACGCAACCATTTTGACTGACTAGTTACATGGCACACATGCTATCAGGGTAGGCTCTAGCAGTTTTGCCACCCCGGACAAAAATGGAAAATGCCGCCCCCCCTCTCTCTCTCCAAAGCAAACACTTATAATTAAAAAAGATGAATTGTTCACATAAATGCGAAATTATAAAACTTGAATAATTTCAATAAACAAAAAGGCAGAATAACAATATGTAAATAATTTTAAGTCTTAAAAAATTCAAAATAATTCGAAATTAAGCACATAATTACTTATTATTTCGAACGAGTAAAATGCAAGGGTAGGAATCGTTCATTTCAACAGGCCAATTTCTTCGAAAAACAGTCTGCTGAGGGCTGGGATCACAAGCGTTTCTTTTAACGAAAAATAAAACTACACTCAAGACTCATCTCCTGTGGTTCTTTATCTACCCAAACCTCTTATGACCTTTGTCCCCTTCTGGATAGCTGACACCGGACATCGTAAGAGTGAAAGGAATATCCGTTGTGACCTCACTCCTGGACGGGGAGAGAGTTACAAGTGAAAGATGCGTAAACATAATAAATTTGATGATTTAACATACACTCCCACCTCGAACCCTTCAAGTTGCAATATAAAAGAAAACTGGTATTAAACATACAGAGTAGAAAATAAAGAAATAAGATACGTTAAATAAAATACCAAATTCACACCTAATAATATTTCAGTAAATATGTCAAATTTTTTGTAACAATATATATATATATATATATATAATTTTCAAATTCGATAAAAATGCCGCCTTTAAAATTTGCCGCTTCGGGCAGGGGTCTAGTTTGTCCGGCCCTAGAGCCGTCCCTGATGCTATGGCCTACGTCACTTCCATCGGGGGCGAGACACAAATTTTAAGAGTGTACATCTAACTTACGGTTCGCAGAGGTGGTACTTATCTTTGATTGTTACTGTTTTACAGAATCTGGAAAGTGTATACTTTTTCTTTATGAATCCTTCCTAGATTGTTTTTAGTTTTTCATATGTAAATCCGACATTAAGCTTGCGATCTTTTGATTGTACAGAAAACTATTCTGATAGCCGTCGTCTATTTATTTAAAAAGAATAAGACTTGTGAATTTTTAAGATGGGAGTATAATTATGTTTTAAAGCCCCTTACCCCCCCCCCCGGAAGTCCTTTTCTACTCAAAAAAAGAAACATGGCTGACATATTTCATTTCCTAGGACTCGAACTCATAACATGCCAGTCATGAGTTTGTGACTAACACTAGGATACGGGTGCCAACTGATAATTTAGAAGAGAAGAAATAATAATAATGAATAAGGAAAAAGGAAAGGAAAAGCTCCATTTAACAATAAATGTTATAAACAACAACAGAAAAAATAACTTTTTTATATAGTAACAAACTTATGAGTTACTTCACGGTATTTTCTTGTGTGTGTTATACGTTTTATATTTATACACCATAGAACGAGCTCCTAGCTAACAAGTAATATAAAAAAATTTTTTTTTTAAGTCAATTCCTACTTTGGTCAACAAAGAAACATTTTATTTTAGTTGCTTTTTATTTAATAGTTACAATTAATATAAACATGTATATACATATGACAGAATCACAATATTAAATAACGAAAAAGAAAGCGATTTTCCTTCCAATTTTCCCAATTTCCTTTCTATACATGGTGTTGGATTATTTTTTTGTTTGTTACTATTTATTCCTTCTTAATTAAATTTAATTAATAATTCTAATAAAATAATACAGTAAAAAAAGAAATCACGTTCTCCGAAATTATGCCATCCCTGGTGGAATTCAAACCCATGACCTTCGGATTAGAAGTCCAACCCACTATCCATTTTGGTATTTCCTTTCTATATATGCTGTTGGACCATTATTTTGTTCGTTACTATTTATTCATTTTTTAAATTTAATTAATGAATTAATATTTGAAAAAACTGTGTTAATATCAAATGTCCTTCCAACTACAAGTTTAAAAAATGTATTTGAACTTGAATGGATGAATAAAAAGTATTTTATGAACGATTGAAAATAAGAACAAGATATATATATAGACAGAGATTAATATATATAGAGAGATAATATATATAGAGATAATATATATAGAGAATATATATAGAGAGAGTATATACATATATATAGAGAGAGAGTATATACATATACATATACAGTATATAATATATATATATATAAGTATATACATATATATAGAGAGAGAGTATATACATATATATATATAGTGAGAGGGGAGTGAACTAATAGTAGGAATTGAAAAATAGAATTCAGTTCTTTTTATTACTTTGATATTTTAGTTATAGATATTTAAAAAAAGAATGATTTAGAATTTTGACTTTAAACTAAGATATCACTTTATGTATCTAATATCTGCATAATTATAATTCTAGAAAGAGCGAGAAAGTTGATTTTGATTCTCTGAGAAAAAAAAAAGGTGATTTTTTTTCGTAGGAAACTTGTGCCATATCGCGAAATTATTCGTCTGTACACAAAACAGGCGGCTTTTACGAGTAAGTTAAACAATAAAACACATTTTTACGAGCAAAACCTTTCAACCCCACCGACATAAAACGCTACGCAGACTTCGAAACCTGACAGTTCGACCTTCTCAGTTCTAAAAAGCAGAAACTGTCCAGTTTTTATTTTATTCTATTTTACATCAATGAAAGTCATAGATTTTGTAAATGCATTTAGAATGAAATTTACTTAACATTGGTTTGCAGAAATACATACTCGGCGAATTTAGCTCGATTTACAAAATAGTTTTTACAATCAATTAAATTTCACGCATTCTGTAAATGTTAGAAAAAAATAGGAACTACTGAAAATAATACCTTTAAGTTTAAATAGAGTAATTTATTTTCCAATGCTTGTCAGCTCTTTCAATATTAATTATTTAAGCTATATAAAAAGTTTTTCGTGATGCTGTGATAAATTGACACAAAAGGTATAATTAGTAAAAATGTGTCGTAAAAGTTGAATTGAACTGAAGAGGAGCACCAAGAACGATTTGCCAAACACTTCCCACCCCTTCGACCTTCCAGCGGTTTCTCGAAAAATCCGCTTACGTCATAGATCGTGATGTAATAGATTTCTCCAGTAATTTCCAGAAGCATCCATACGGTCACCAAGTCACCAAATTTGGTCGCCAAAAAAGATGCCAACTTCACAGTGGCGTAACGTGAACCCTCGCAACCCCCACATTTCGGGGAGACCCAGGACTATAGGGGTTCATAGCCTGATTGATACCAATTACGTATTTAACCAATTTATTAAATATTAAAGACAAACTTTGACTTGACTGAAGGACCCAGTATTATCTGTTACGCCATTTCAACTTCAGTGTAAGTTAAAGGAAAAGGTGATTACTAAAAGGTGATGCACTAATTGTACACATTAAAACGCAGAGATGTAGACTTGAAATTTATATTCTTTCTACTTACAATATATTGAAAAAAATAGAACTATATAATACATGTAAATTACAGTTTTACAATTTGAGCTACGAGTACGAACAGTTGTATTATTTGTTTGATGGGGGATGGTCCCGTTAGGCATATAGGGAGTACTCCTCCTAGTAATAATAATAAGAATTTTTTCTAAAGTTGTGACATCAGGAAACTCTTTTCTAAGACAACTCGTTATGTTTTGTCTAAATTTAGGAAAGCTGAGATGGGGAGAGTTTATTAACGTCGCCCTGTAACGCAACACGAGGGCTATTGGCGATGGAACCGTAGTTCTGACCATGGTCAAGTGACGAGGACGACACTTGAGCTGGAATACCACTCTCTAAACTTTACACCAGACCAATATGAAGATTTTAGGTCACGACAGATTTAACGTGCATCAGACCCTCTACGTGGTGGGTCTTGAGTGCTTTAAGGCTCGAACCCATGATACGCTGGCTACGAGTCTGTGATCGTAACCATTAGGCTACCGTGGCCAAGCCTAAGAAAGCTGAAAGATTGTTTTATCTATTACTTTGGAAGTAGTGTATCTTAAAATATGAATCACTATCAAATAAATCCTCAGCTCCGAACTTCCATACTGTTATCAGGTAGTAGAGTTCCGAATGCATGTCTGGCGTTATTGTAACCTTACCGTGGGTTTGAGTCCTGATGTCACTTAAGATTCCTCACATAGTGGAAAGGTACATATTGCCTTTATCTAGGTTTAAAATCTTCACGTTGGTGGTATGTGGAAGTTTGGAGAAAGAAAGGTTTTGCTCAGGTGTTGTCCTCGTCACTTGACTATAATTCCAAATTTCGAGATCTGTCGTTCAAAGCACTCTTCGAATTTCAACGATAATCCTTTTTATGGAATTTTCTGAGTCATTTCGATTTAAAGTGCAATAATCCCTGTTATGATGTTTTATGAAATATAGCTAAGATCGCATTTTTGTTCGCTAAGAAACTGATAGGCTGTAGATTTTTTTATTTATTTCAAGAACGATTGGTGTTGTACAACTAAATTTTCAATAAGAGGGGAAGATTTAAACTTTAAAATCTCTCCTCCCTACATCTTACTTCTTTCGTCAATGAAAAATCAATTGTGACAAACATATGTACAAAGGAATATTTAAAATAATTTTTAGCAAAGTTTTATGAAAAAACTAAGTGATCGGTTTTAGAATATTGAAAATTTAAAGCATCTGAAAATCTAAAATCCTTATTGAGACGCAACAAAAATAAAAATGAATTAGTAATGCAGGAAGTAAGATTAAATAAATAAATATAAAAAATAATAAATTTTACGAGTTCTCGTGATGATGTTGCAGAACTTTCTACAATAAGTTTTGTGATATAAAATACTCAAAATCTGAAGAAAAATTTGAACGCTTGTGAACGAACACTTTTGTGGGCCACTGTTTATAAATTTATTTTGTATCAGTGTTACATGATTGGATATTTACGATAGTCCTAACCAATCAAGGTGTCGACAACTTAACTTATTCGTTACTTCCCAAAATTCAACACTAAATCTTCAGAGAACTCGAATCCTCAACATTCTCCTCTACTTAGAATTTCTTTTATTGGTTCTGATGTAAATGCAATGTGTTGCAATTAAAAGACCTAATGCAAATTTGAAACAAATGCGAATCGAGAAATCAAGAGCGCACCCTAATTAAAAACATTAAGGCTTAGCGAAGACACAGAAATGCATGAGGTTTTAATCACCTTTCCCCTTTAGGCGCAATGAGAACCTGTTAATGTGAAGAAATCAATGGGATATTTTGGCTGTGAACCAACTAATTGTCGTAGGATCACGTACGGCCCATTTGGAAGGGACGGCCTCACCTTTTGATCGATATCGAAACATGCATTTCATTAAGGGGTGGTTAATTATACGCGATGTTACGCCTTTCCCACTCATCTGCCCAATGCGCAAAAAATATGACCGCTTTTCACAAAAGAAAGGTATGCAAATGGCAGAGACAAAAGCCATGTCTTTTTTCCACCTACCATTTCGCTTATTAGAGGGGCAATTAAGATTGGATACATTCTTCGAAATGCTGGTGGTGGAGTTAATGAAAGTATTCGTAGTTTGATAAACATAAGGATTAAAATGTAAGTTTATAGAGCGTTGGACGTTACTCCCTTGAATGCGGTCAATTTTTTTTTGTCCAAAGTGTTCAAGAAAAAAAAAAGGCATTCTTTTATTTTATGGTAACTAAGCATCACTGACTCAGCTAGTTCTGTGTCGACCCTGGATCAAAATTCCTTCGGACCCGTTTTTAAATTCCTACTCTATTAGTTCACTCTCTCTCCATATTTATTTATATATATAAATATATTTATCATGTCCAAACTTTCAGTCATTGATAAAATACTTTCTATTCATCCGATTAAGTTCAAATAAATTTTTAGCGAGTTTTTCACGTAGTGGAACAAAAGCGCTATTAGGACGCAAATTTCGTCTTCTTCGTTCCATATTTTGTCGTACCTTTTTCTCAGCCAATAAGCAACCCATTGACCTCGGGTTTTCGGCATTGGGTCGCATTTGTGCCCTAGATGAGCCGAATCATATTTAAATTTTCCCATAGTTTTCCCGAGTTTTCCTACAAATTTTCCTGAATTTCGCTAGTTTATAACAAAATTTTCTCAAAATTTACCTAGTAAATTTATTGTTAGAAAAAGTTTTTTTAAAAAAAATCTGCCTGCATTTTGGAGGAAATTTTCACAAAAATGAGGAAATCTTCACAAAAAAAGTTCAGAAAACAAGTATAAAAGGCTCTGATTTTACTTTTTTAACATGTGAAAAACGCACTAAAATTACTTGGCCATGCCAATGATTGATATTTTGTTTAAACTTGTAGTGGATAACACTTGAAGTTAATGTAGTTTTTTCAAATATTAATTCATTAATTACCGGTTAATTAATTTAAATTAATTTCGGTTTACGACGCCAACTTAGATTCGTCTCTATAGTTGTAACAATGTAACTGATAAAACAATGACAAATGTTGGCGTCGAAAACCGGCTTTTCAGCCAAACTAGCCAAACCGGGTGTACATTGTTACAAAAATGCAGACCAAATCATGCTCTTTTTCAATTCCTACTATTAGTTCACACTCTCTCTCTCTCTGTATGTATATATCTATCTTATTTAAATTTCCAGTCGTTAATAAAACACTTTACATTCATCCATTCAAAGTAGGAATTGACTTAAAATTTTTTTTATTACTTGTTATATATGAGAGTCTCGTTAGTGGAACTGTAGTTACACAATTTGGGGCCCCTGTAGCTTCGGACCTCGTATCATTGATACAGTGGCTGCTACGCCCCTGCTAAGAATAAAAACACACAGAATGGAAAATTGACGAATTTTATTTTA